GTGCACAGCCTCCCTCCGCCCTAGCAAGGAAGACACACACAGGACGAGAGCACCTGCGGGAGGGAGAGAGGACAAAAGGGCCTGGGGGAAGGCAGCCACCAGGGAGGGGCCGAGGCTTCAGGTGCCCAGGATCCCAGCCCCACAGCAGATGCTACTTGCCCTGTCCCCGCTGGGATCCCCAGCTGGAAATGCTGGTGGGGGTGTGAGTTTGCAAAACTCCTCCTCTCACAACATAGGGGTGTGTGTGTATGAGAGAGAGACACACGCTCTCCTTGACTTATTCCAAAGACCAGAGACGCTCTTTTTACAAAAGTATTTTATTTTAGTAAACAAAATACTGGTTCTTTTAAAAGCATATAAAAATTCACATTGTTTTAAGTTAAAGGCCCAGGTTGGGAGTTTATCCTCTGACACATCACTCAATGGTTCCTGCTTCTCGGCTGGAGTCCACTGGAGCTGACATTTACATTGCAAAATCTAGAAGGGAAAACCAAAGGGTAAGTAGGAAGGAAATGTTTGATAAAATTACAGTGAATGTTTTACTTGTTCAGCATTAACACTTAAGTTCAGCCGTTCAGACCTGACAAACAGAAACTACTCAAGTTTATCTATGAATGAAAGTATTTTTAGCACCACAATTTCCCTTTCATCTGAAAACATGTTTTGTTTAAAACAAGGCACCAGTCTTTGAGAAGCTGCCAACCGGAGACGGGAGGACCAACTCCCCAGTTAGTTCTAAGCTCAGCGGGGAAGCCACCCAGCCCTACTTAACCAGCAGGTCTCCGGTGATGTCTGCAGAGAAGAAGCATTTACGATCTCACATCTAATCTTCCTCTTCTCAGTTTAACACGCAAAATGAGGACTGTCAGGAATATAAATTCAATCAGCAACATTTCAATGTAAACTGCCTTCCCTCACCCTTTAAAATTTCTCTTCCCCCTTCCTAGTGCCTGCTCCTGAGTTTCAGTCAATGAAACAACTTTAAAAAAAAAATCGATAAAAGGCAAGGTTCCGTAACAGTAACTTCTGCCCTCACTGAGGACCAGCCAGCGGCTGCGGCTACTGGAAAGGGTGAGTAAGCAAGTGAAGTGCTTCCACGAGCCCACGTGCCTGTATTCAGGAAGGCAGCGCGGCTCGGGCTGGGCATGGTGGTTGAATGAGTTTGACCTCGGTTCAATTTCCGGTTCTGCCCTTCACCAGGTATGGTGTGAGCCATTCTTTCAATCTGGATATACCCCACAGAGCTGTCAGGACTGAATAAACCAGCTGTCTGTGAAATGCTTAGCAAAATGCCTGGCACAAAATAATCACTCAGTAAGCGTTGCTACTGTTACTCATATGTATGCCTTTAACCTCATGGTCTACCAGTACTGCAAGGGGATTCCTATTTACATACGCACGGAATCGGAGCCGGCAGCGGTTGTGGAGGTCACCCAGCCCAGTGGTTCCTATGGTGACCTGTTGCTGACAGGACTACGTAGAGACATCTAATGGGTTTTCAAAAGAACAGATGCCCAGACACAACCGTAGACAGAATGGAATCTTCCTGAGGCTGGAGCCTGAGAATCTGCATTTTAATAAGCATCCCAGCAATTCTGATCCTTATCCAGGTTTGGGAACCACTGATCTAGAACCCCCTACTGCCATATTTCAATCCTCTTTCAGAGAAGCCCAGAACTCAACCTGATAGATGAAGAGATTGTATCAACACAACAGAATCGAGGAGACTGCTGTCATGTGTTAAATCTGTAACAGGGGCCTTGATGTGTTTAACTCCACGAGCACGATCTCGGCCTCCTGTGTGCACTGCGACAGGCACCGGGCTACAGTGATGAATTAAGCCCTCATGACTGGTGAGGAGGTCATCGGGAAGGGCCCTCTGGCCTGGGACTAACCAGCAAGGCTGAGGGGCGTGAAGGTCTATGGTGGCCAAGGTAAGGCCCCTAGGAGTGCAGGGAGGAGTGGGAGAGGTGGCAGATGAGATCTGGGTTAAGCACATGTTGACAAGGGACTTATCTGCCACACCAAGGAGTCAGACTTTATCTTGAAGGTAACACGGTTTCTTAATCAGGTCATTTCTCAGTCTTCAAATGACCTGTGACTCCCCACCTCTACCTTCTCCACTTCTGTCTAGAAGCTTAAACACCTGCAGTCCCTGACCATTGGGGGACTGTTAGGAATCGGGCCGCACAGCAGGAGGTGAGCAGCAGCGGGCCAGCGAGTGAAGCTTCATCTGTATTTACAGCCGCTCCCCATCACTCACATCACTGCATAAGCCCCGCCTCCTGTCAGATCAGCAGCGGCATTACATTCTCATAGGAGCTCGAACCTTGCTGTAAACTGCGCGTGCGAGGGATCTAGGTTGCGCACTCCTTACGAGAATCTAATGCCTGATGATCTGAGGTGGAGCTGAGGCGGTGATGCTAGCACTGGGGAGCGGCTGCAAATACAGATTATCATTAACAGGGAGGTTTGACCACACAATAAACGTAATGCACTTGAATCATTCCAAAACCACCCCCCCCCCCGCCCCCTGCTCCATGGTAAAATTGTTTTCTATGAAACTGGTCCCTGGTGCCTAAAAGGCTGGGGACCACTGTTATACACAACTCGGGTGTTTTTAGTATGTGTGCTTCTCTGGGGAGAATGCCCACAGCTGTCATTAAATTCTCAAGAGTCCTGAGACCCAACACCTATAAAAAACCACTGCAGGATTAGAGAAGGGTGAACTGATTAGTTCATCCTCCGTGCACCTTGGCTCCACTACAGTCAGGGTCGAGGATGAGGGTCTGCACCTTAGAGGGCAGGGGGGGCCATGTGCTCTCACGCAGCCCTTCGGACCTGAGGGACGTGGAATTCTCAGACCTTTCACATCCGTTGATTGGCCGCCCTGACCACTGCCTGGTTCCCATTCACAAGGTCGGGTACCTCGATTCCCCTTCAGTTATCTTTCTTCTCTGGCTGCTGCTTCTTCTCAGCCTCCAGTTTTTGCTGTTTTGCTTCCATCCTTTTCCTTTGGTATATTTTCACTCCAGCAAATGCCAGGCAGAGAATTAATGTCTTCGCTGCCAAGATATACAGCAGCAAGGGCACGTGTTCAAGAGCCTTCAAGAGGAAAGAAACCATTCTAAACGTTCCATCATCGATATGGGATGTTTCTTTATCGTCACACAACCAGTATTTACTAAGCACCGATTCTGCCACAGGCACAAGGCTGGGTGCTGGGGCTACACTGGAGACCAAGCAGACAAGGTCCCTGTCCCCGTGTGGCTGACAGTCTAGTTACACGCTGCTCTTCATCACTCGCTTGCTACCGGCTTCACGGAGGATCACCAGGCAGCTACAGGCGTAGTGCCTCTGGTATCGTGCAGTTTGCTGGCCTCCCAGGTCCCCACTTCTGCAGCAGCAGCCGGGTCCAGTGAGTGGAGCCTGAACTGGGAGGCCTGGGTCACAGCTCTGCTCTGCCACTGACTGACTGTGTGACCTGGTCAGTCACTGGGCCTTTCTGAGCTCCTGCCTCTTTGTCTACAAAGTAAGGCCGGACCAGACCTTCTTTCTGGAATCTCCAGCTCTAGCACCCTATGATTTCCTCGTTTCCAGCAACTCATTAGCACTGGCATTTGAAGATAAAATAAAATATAACAAAACTCAAAACATTAAAGCTTAGCTACTGATTAACTGCTGCCATAAACCCACTGGCTAAAACGAAGTCTGGGGACTAACCATGGATTTGAATTTCCCACTCTTTGCACTAGTAGATTTTATAATGAAATTCTATATAGCACGATGGTATCTCAGAGTAAATACTATCCCAGTTTCATTCACATGGTTAACATGACTGAATGATAATTATGAGATTTTTGTGTTATTAAAAATTCCTTCCCAAATAAAGCGAACAGGTATGCTTCTGTTGAGTAATCACTATTTTACAGGACTAGGTAGAATCTATTCCAATGAAATCATTACATTAAATTGCCAAATATTATTTATTATATGTAATACCAATAAAATGAGATTCTACTACAGGGAGTACGTTTGAACCTCCCTCTAACAGTTAGTTTAACTAAAAGTGACCTGAAACTAGTGAGAACAGTAGTTCTCACTGAACTAGGGGGCTGAAAGGAACTCTCAAGATGACCTGGTCTAATCCGCCAGCTTGTCTTCTGAGCAAGGCGAGCAGAGCCGCTGTGGTTGAAGGCCTGCCCGTGTCCTGCAGCTCGCTCAGGAGGAGGCTGGAGTGAGAACGGACAGTCTAACCCCGGGCCAGGCTCCCTTCCCCTGTGTCCTGATCTCCGATGAAGTGGAATGAATGAAATCACAATTTATGTACATATATGTTACTATAATTTTATTCAAATGCTTTAAGACTCAGACCTGGATGTGGATTTCACATTTAGAAGACCGAGCATTGGCTGCTGTACACTGGAAACTTCCCGGGTGCTAAGTGCCTTACGAGGTTCTTCACGCTTTCTCCACGGGGCAGACGGACCACCCTGATCGTGGAGCTGAGAACACGCGAAGGAGGGAGAATCTGACCCGGCTCTGACCTTCACCATCACAGCGTCCTGCGACATGTATGGTGTGCTCCCCACCTTGGCAATTTTACAATTAAATTATGCAAATAAACGAGGGCTTGGCTACTGAACTTGCCAGAGGCAACTGGACTCACTACCTGTGAAAGCATTTAACTGGGTATGTACCGAATCTGCGGCAGGTTGTAAAGTGATACAACGAGAATATAATGGACATCATGGGGGGAAGGGAATACAAATATTTAAGTCATTTTAACTAAAACACGAAAAATACAAGAACACTCCATAACCAGACAATAGTTTTCAACGATGAAATCATTTTAACAGTAAGGAATAAACACAAAATACTTGCTTCAGAAAGATCACTCTGGTGATAGTATAAAAGATTTACAGTTACAAAAGTAAAACTTTAAAACGTTTTACCCTGGTAAACATAAGCTTCTTAGAATATTGATTTGGTTTCTAGGTTCTTCCTCCCTTAGACCTACTGCTAACCACTGCCCCCCACCCACCAATCCGTTTTCTTGAAGGTTCACATTGTAGAAAGGTGAAGGTTTGACTCCATTCAAACAAACCAGCTGTGAAAAGAATGTCTAACATTGTTATATACACCTCTTTGCAGGTTTACTAGGATTTTCTAGGCTAACTGAAGCGCTGAATCATACTGGGAAAGTTAATCCCTTCTGATTTTCTAAATCTCTCTAGAATCAGTCCGTTATGGTGGAGCCCACATGATAGCCCATGGTTCTCTGTGATAGTCGCAGGAAGGTACTACTTCAACCCACTGCAAATGGAAACTCACGGGCCAGTGGGCACAGGTTAGTGGTGCGGTATTTACTTTCTTTTCAAAGGCAGTGGCAAGAGGCAGAAGTCTGGGACTGAGGAGGAGGCAGAGTGAGGGCGGCAGAGGTCAAGGACTCTAAAAGGGCTAAAGCAAAGGCTTGGGGGGAGCCCCTTCCTGCCCCTCTCGAGGGCACTAAGCTTCGGTTGTGTTAAATCCCTCCCTGATTTCCTTCTAACAACCCCTTACATCTCTCAAAATATGCACACCTCCAAGGAGGAAAATGAATGTTGTTGGGGTGGACTAGATCTATGCTACTTTTTAAAAACAAAACCCCAATACCTGTGAAATGGGAATAATTAACTAATAATTAAATAATGAGGCCACACTCGTTGCTGATGCACAGTAGTGCTGACTGTCGCTGCCAGCCATGGCACACTGAGCCGGAGGAGAAGGCACAGGATGCCTTCAGCTTCCCGCAGCTCTCTGCAGTCGGCGTAAGCGGGGCCCGTTCCTTTCTGACACTACCCAGAAGGGGCCTGGGTTTAAACACAAGGCTGCCCCACGGTTCTGTGTCTGCCTACAGCTGGGAAGGTTTGGGTCAATTTTGTTCCTGACGCAGGACAGGACTGTCACAGGCAGGACTGGGCTGGGGGATTAAGTGGGTTGGTGTCACTCAACAGTTAAAGAGAAAACTTCTCTACGCGATGCCTTGGACCAGTGTGCATCAGCATCACCTGGGAACTTGTGAGGAATGCAAACGCTCAGGCCCCACCCCAGACCTACCCAATCAGAAACTCTTAACTAGTCCTCAAAGGGACTGCCGTACACGTGCAGTGGGAGGACCACCGCCTTGGAGCACTAAACAGAATGCTTTGAACCTTGCTGACACAGCCTTTGGTAGCAGTTACTGCCTCCCACCCCTACCAACTTAGCCACTGCAGCGGGTGGGAAATGGCCTCTCTCAATCTCACCCCCACTTTCTGCTCCTTCCCCCTTCTTCCCCCTCCCACCCCCACCACTGTGCTCAGGCCCCCAAAAGCATGTTCAACAAACTCCCCTAGTTGCTGCCTCCTTCAGAAGACTCACTATGCTTCCTTAACTTCAACCAGGTCTTCCTGGAGAAGAGTCCCTCTGCCCTCCTGCAGGGCCCCCCAAGCCCTACGGCCACAGAGCTGGGGGAGGGGGAGAGCCACTCTCCCAGCTCCCTGATCCTGCTTCCAGACCCTTCCAGTTTCTCCTTGCAGTAGAAAGCTGCTGGAGGTTTTGAAGAGGGAAATGTTTATAATAATTGAAAAGACTACATACAACAAGATCTTATATTTGAAAATACACACACCATACTTATATACATGGAAAAAAATACTGGAAGAAAATACACCAAAACTGTTAATACTTAATAGTAGCCATCTCTGGATGGTGAAACTACGTACAATTTCTATTTGATTTTATACTTTTCAAAGTGGCTAAAATCACATATTTTAGTGGCTGCTGTCTTAACCAATCTCCGCCTCATCTTATGGACTTCAGGGATTAAAAGTGGCATTTCCTTTTCTCTGTAAAACCTGCTGACAGTTGCCATAGCCACTGAATGCCTCTGGCTGGCAGGCGACTCTGGTTTCCGGTGAACCTCTGCTCCTACCAGCTGAATGTTGTGTTTACGCACCAACCAGTTTAGGTTGTACTCAATGCTATATAAGTAATTTATTTAAACACGGCTCTTAGGAAATATGACCATGTAAAGAAAAAGTTGTTTCTGTGAAAACTGAATTGAATGCTTTGAAAGATTCAAGTCTGAGTTGGAAAAAAATAATGCTATTGGCAGGACAACTGTCAAACATTAGGGAAAAGCATCAAAATCTGGAAAGATTTTGTATGCAGATTGCTTCATAAGATCTTAATCCATTGTTTTAGTCATTTCAGACTCCTATAACAAAGTACCACAGTTCAAGTGACTACAAACAAGAGACATTGATTTCTCACAGTTCTGAAGGTTGAAAGTCCAAGATTAGGGTACAGCACGGTTGGGTTCTAGTGAGGACTCCCTTCCAGGGTGCAGACTGCCAACTTGTTAGTGTACCCTCAAACATCAGAAGGAGGGCAAGAGAGCTCTCTGAAGTCCCATTTAGAAGGGCACTAATCCCATTCCTGAGGGCTCCAGCCTCAAGACCACCTTCCCCAGGCTCCACTTCCAAATACCATCACACTGGCATTAGGGCTGCAACATACCAATTTGGTGGAGATACAAACATTCAGTCCACTGCATCTACTTTAAAGAAACTAAAATGTAAAACTACAGGTAAAGCTTTAAAGGCATGATTTTTGCAAGAAAAGCAAGGCAGATCTGAAGTTAGCAGACACGCATTCAAAGGTCTGGCCTTCTTCCAGAAGTTTGGTGAATAAATGTACGTTTGTATGTTTTAACATTAAATATTATTATGCTTTCATTTACTTTTTCTTTTTAATCAATCTACTTCTATAGAACTTTTATTCTGAATTTTTACAATCAGGAGGAAAGAAAAAACCCAAGCCATAAATACTTAAAACTATTCTTACCTTCCAGTTCATGGCAGACGAGCTGTGAATTTACTCCTGACCAATGTAGGCACCCCCCAGACAAGCACATGAGGAGAAGGAGCTAGAAGTTCAGGTTCAGGTTGCTGGAAGGTCTGATCTGGGGGTGGGGGAAGAAAAGAAACAGGTCAGTTTGGGCTTTCCAGGGCAGACCGCCTTAGGAAGATGTCTCTTTGATGGAAAGAGGGCACGTGAACCAAAAGCAGAGAGACGGGTTGTGTCCTGACAAGGCGACCCAGAGCCTGGTGGGAAGCAGACAGGCTGGGTGAGGGCCAAGACAGGCCTGGCTCTTGTTGAGCAGAAAGCTCTCCTCAGCCCCCAGCAGAGGTGGCAGTGCCACTCCTAGGGGACATGTGCCCCCATCCCATTCATATGTGGAACTAAGAGCCCAAGTACAAAGGCTGTACCTCCACCCACCTCCTGCCCTGAACACGGGCTGGTTTGTGGATGGGTGTCTTTCTGTTTCTCAGGTCCTCTGAGTGTTGATCAAGGTAATCTTGGTTTTTAAAAGGTTATCTGGAGGCAAAGGAATAAGTGACAGGGGAAAAATTTATCCTAAGAAAGCAATTCATATGTAGAATTCCCTCTAAAGCACCACGGAAGGCAAGGCAAGATGTGACAAGGAAGGGACACAGCCAGAGCACAGGATTTGCTCTGGGGCCTCACAGGTCACTAATTTTAGAACACATACCCCAAGAGCCAGAAGACTTGTTCTGTGCATGAAGAACCTACACACTCTGATAAGTGACTTCCCTCTGAGGCCTTGGTCTCACCTGTAAGTGAAGAAAGGAGGTGTCAAACAGAGGGTCTAGGACCCTGACTTTTTCTGAAATTCAATGATTTATAGCCTAAGAATCATCACTTCACTTTATTGTGCCAAGCTGTGCTAAAATGCTTAGATGAATTAACTCACTTAGTCCTCACAGACTGCCCAATGAGGTAGCTGATTACTCCACTTTATAGAGGAAGAAAGAAAGTTTAAGTAACATATCCAGGGTCTTTCAGGTGGGACTGGGATTCAGACCCATCCGGTCTGGTTCCAGGGCCTTAAACTCAGTACCATCCTGATGCAGGCAGAGAGCTTCGCATTCAAAAATCATGGTGACACTTTCCTTTAAATGTACTTACAGTTAGAATTAAGAAAAGTGGCAGACAATTTTACAGGCCTTTAGAATGGGAATAAGATGAACTTCAGGGAAGATGTTTTCAAAAAAAAAAAAAAACATTAAATACAAAAAGCATGTAAATATAAAAATTCAAAAATCATGTTTACACGTTATAGTAAATTTACTTACAGTTAGAATTAAGAAAAGTAGCAGACAATTTTACAGGCCTTTAGAATGGGAATAAGATGAACTTCAGGGAAGATGTTTTCAAAAAAAAAAAAAAACATTCAATTACAAAAGCATGTAAATATAAAAAGTTATATCTCATCTCTTCAAGGTTATAGTATCTTGAAAACAAGCTAGTAGTTGGCACAAGATAGCCAAGTTTTCCCCAGGACTTTTTCAAAGTCAGATAAGCTAGCAATATGAATTTATACTGTAGATCTGTTTAGATGTAATCATGGTAACTGAAGGTGCTATAAAAAGAAAATCACAGCCTCAGACACCTGTGAAGAGCTGGCCCCAGAGATCATTCAGTAAGAAAATTCCTTGCTAACCACCCATAAGCAAGGACATGCAAATTGTACCTGTGTCTATCACCTAAAGCTAAAGCCTATCCAATTCTACACCAAAATGAATTACAAGTTTATCTTACAGGTAACAGGAGACAACATAGAATCAGGCATTCTTCCACCTTCCTAGGGACATCTACATAACTGATGCTTCCTTCATTCCCTTCTTTTATGTAAAATGTAGATTTCTTGGGCCTCACAAGGAGGTAGCCACTACCTCATCATCCCCCACCCCAACCTCCCTGCCTTTTTCCTTCTCTCTGTATGCCTATAAAATGCTGAAGTTTCCAACATCCCCTTCAGAGAAACAGCCACAGCTTGTCTGCTGTTTGTGGTTTTCCCAGGCGCATCCTCAAAATCTTAGCTTAATAAACCTCCACTGATTGAGATTTTTGCCTCTGTCATTTATTTGGGTTGACAGTGCTCATGACCTTCCTGTATCAAGGGCCCACTTGTCCTTATGTAGCAGCAGATTCTGACCTGCACTGAAGAAGTATGTTCCTAACATGTTATAACTGTTGCTAGAATTTTCACTTTGAGTATCTCTGATAATCTTAGGGACTAGCCATGTTGTATATTAAAATAAAATGTTTAAGGCTTATAAATTTTATTTTTAAAATTCCTGCTTTGAGTTGTATACAAATATAGTAGGTGACTTTGGCTGTTCCCCACAAATTTTCTGAGGCCAAATGACAGACCCAGTAAATTGATTAGGATATTGATTTCCAAAGACAAGGACAAAAAATAGGTCCAAACATCTTGCAGGAGGAAATAAATGAAAAAGAACATCCAGTGGTCTGGCCCCTCTGGTAAATACACGCTGTGATACTAGCAATGTGACCTTAGACAAGTCACTTGGCCTCTCTAAGCCTCGACTCCTCCATCTGTAAATTCTCCTTCAGAATGGACTGTAAACATTAAGCACCGTGCTCAGCACACAGAAAGCACTAAATAAATGTCAACCATTATTGTTGATAAATCTTTCTCCTTGCAGTAATGGACATGCCAAGCTGAAGGACACAGACGAGTCGCACCCAGAAGAGAATGTAGTCATTCCATGACAGCAGGGCATAAAGAATAAGCTGAGACCCAGGAGAACTGGAGATCTGGGCTCTGTTCCTGGTGGCACCAATGGTGGCACACGTGACCTGGGGCAAGCCATTAACCCTATGAATCAAAATGTTCTCATTTTAAAAATCAGAATGCAAAGGATAATTCTTCGACTCTGGAATTCACAACTCCACCATCCTCTCTGATATTACAGAACCTGACTGGAGAATATACTCGTGGCAAAAATATACTTCAACTGGTGGTTGCCTCAACTTCAACTTCTAGAGTGATAGAATTCAAGCTCTTTATGAAAGAAGCCTATGTATACTCAGTCTGCAATAGGAGTGGATGGGGTGGGTGAGGGTGGAGGATGACAGGGCAAAGCCCCCTGATTAGCCCTACTCATTCCCACCCACTGCCTCTGAATTACTTCTCCCCACCTCCCTTAAATTACATGCCCCAAGTCAGCCATTACCATAGCACCCTGCTCCCTCCTGCAAATGAGAACTAAGAAAGCTAAAAATATCACTGAGCTATTTGCTCTGCTGCCATATGTACACCTGATGCAATATTACAAACAAGAGGCAGCCGGTATCTGAGGGCTGAACTGCAAAAGCCAACAAGATGAGGACAATTTTGAGAGGCATAAAAATCTATGAAGGACAGGGAATTTTAAACTTACCAGGGAACTATCCAGTCTTAGCTTAAAACTAAACAAACAAACAACGCCACAATTAGCTTAGCTACCACCCCAAATTATTTCTATCTCCCTAACTGCAAAAGTATTCTGAGTTTTCCTTTGCCAAGTTTGTCCCAGAAACAAAAAAACATATTCGCTAATTTTGGTTAGGCCAATTAAAGCAATATAGACAATCTATTGCCCACGATCTACGTTTTCTTCTTGGCACACCTAAGAAACTCAAGGGTCAGTCTATCTCTTGGTGGCTAACTCCTTCCAGCCACTCGTCAGGCCCTGCCCTTTGTCTGAACTTCCTTCCCACCCAGTATCTACCCCTTTCACGCCAATCTTTCACCCAATCATTTTAGGTAGGAGTAGGTCCGGGGAGGGGGCTATCAGGTGAACCTTGGGCATCACCTGGCCCTCCTGGCTCTGCACAGGCCTGGAGGGTAGAGAAGCAGCCCCAGCCGATCTCGGCGGCTCAGACTCCACATCTCATCACCTCAAGGATACGCTAGGAGCGACCCATGCCCTGGGAGAGCCGCGTTGGTGCCTGCATTCGCTGTGCAACCCTGGGCGAGTTGCTGAACCCCCGTGGGCCAGTCTGGAGTCCTCTTCCCCCGACCTCAACACTCAGGGCCGTCATCGCTTCCCCCACCCTTCCACAGAACGGTGTGTCCAGAACATTCACCCGTCCCCCAAAACCCTTCGGAGACCAACACCCTCCGGCCGGAACCAACGCTGGGCCCCGCGCGGGCTGCGTGCCAGCCTGAGGGCGGGTCCTGCGGCGCCGGGGCGGCCTGGCCAGGCAGGGCCGCTCTGCGGGTGGGGCCGCAGCGCCCGTCACCCTCCCCGGCCCTACCCGGGGAGCCGCGCGGCGGAATCCGGCAAGCATTAGTCCCAGAGAGAAAACGCGATCGCAGGGCCAGCCACCAAATCCCAGCGCCCAAAAGAGCTTTCGAGCTTAGGATCGTGCTCCCGCCGACCCCGACGTCACGCACTCACAGCTCCCAGCGGAGTAGCCTCCGGCGCCAGCACACAAACCACGACTCCCGCAGTGCTGCCGGGGAAAACTACACGTCCCGAAATGCACCGCTTCGCGCGCCGGCGCAGTGGGCCCGCGCAGCCTCCGTGGGGCGCAGGCGCAGTGGGCTTGGGCCGCCTCGGCGGGGACCGCTCTGTGCGCCGGCGCAGCTAGCAAGGGCTGCTCCAAGGGGCTCAACAATGCATGCGCAGGCGCAGTGGGTCCCAGGCGAGCCTCCCTGAGGCTGTGCCTAGGGACTGCAGTCCGGGCTGGCCTGGCATTGAGGGGAGTGGTGGGATGTGGGCCGGCACCTTGGTCCAGGGTTGGGGGCATGTTCTCTTTCTGAACTTCCTGAGCTGGAGGAGGACGGCAGCTGGAGGGCTGGTGGTCGCGGGGTCCCTTCGCCTTCGGCTGTCCCGCATTTCCTGGGTGCCCCCACTGCTGTCTGCTTCTGAGGACACGTGGGTCCCCATAAGAAGTGTCCAAATCTAGCGTTCATTTTCTTTGACAACATGCATGCATTTTCCTTTGGCATAACAGCGAGGATCCCCAACACTAGGTTCCCAGATGTCTTTATTCAACAAACGCTTCGCTTCGTATACGCGTGCAGAGCTGGAGCCCACTCGGTCCTTGCTCCTTGGGAAGCGCGAACTGGGTCCCGAAATACGAAGATAGCAGGACGGAATGTTGGTAGAGTTCTCACTGTGTGCTCTGCTCGCCTTTCCACGGATGAGGAAACTGAGGCCAGGGGAGATTTAGTGGCTGGCGCTAGAAAACGCGCTAATTGCAGTGACACAGTGGAGTTTTGAACCTAGACGATCTAATTGTAACTCCCACCAGGGCTCTGTGATGAAGTAAGAGACACTAGGGGTGCAGAGGAGAGAGCAAACGGGTAGGGATTTGAATCTGTTGACAAGGGAAGTTTTCCCGGAGAAAGTAACACAAATAGCTTTGTTCTAAGCACTTTGAGGCTCTTGTCTAAAAGTTTCATAACAAGCTAATAAAGGATTCGCAATAATTACAGTTGAGCTTTGAACAATCAGGGTTTGGGGCACTGCAGTCAAAACTCTACCTATAACTTTGAACCTTACCGAAAACAGTTGATAAACATATATTTTGTATATGCTGTATTCTTACAGTAAACGAGTAAAGAAAGTATTATTAAGGAAATCATAAGGAAGAGAAAATATATTTACTATTCATGAAGTGGAAGTGGATCCTCATAAAGGTCTTTATCCTTGTTGTGGTCACATTGAGTAGGTTGAGGAGGAGGAAGAGGAGGGGTTGGTCTGAAGCGGTGGGAGAGGTGGAAGGGGAGGTGGGAGAGGCAGGCACACTGCAACTTTTATTGAAAGAAATCCACGTGTGAGTGAATCAGCACAGTTCACACCCGTGTTGTTCAAGGGTCACCTGCATAACCATTTCACAAATGAAGAAATGGAGACACAAAGAGATTAAAGTAATTTTTTTTCCCCGGGATTTTAAGGCCAGCAAGTGTCAGAGCTGGGACTTGATCCAAGGTAATCTGAATCTAGAGTCTATCAGATCAGCCACTACCATGGTTTCCTTTTTAAATAGCCTCAGAGCTATGCTTTAAGCCTCTTACTCAGGTCACGTGGAGCCAGCAGACCAAGCAGAAGGAACTCTAAAAGCAAACAGCGTAGAGAAAAACAGCAAGTTGCTTGAACTGGCACTTTTAGGTGCTAGGCAGAAAGTGGAAAGCCTGGGTTTGGTGGGAGTTGATCCTGGAGTTGCAAAATGTAGCAAATGGTTTCGACCATTATACACACAACATGCTTGTAAAGATCTGGCTTTTCTCCCACTTCCCGAAAGTGAAGTTGACTGATAACCCTCTATGTTATCACTTACACTCTCAGTGATAAAAATAAAATGTATTTAATTAGGAAAACCTAGATTTTTTTCCTTGGATTGTTTCCCTGTGTCAAAGGTAAACAAAGCCAGACACTAGTTAAAGCAGTAAGGATAGACTAGATTCAGTAACGATGGCAACAGGGAAGAGGGTCAACTCCCATTAGTGCAGAGGTGGCTGCGTGTGGGTGCAGGGCTGGAGCAGGGTCAGGGAAGTGGAAATGTATGAAAAGTGGGACAGGTTGGTCAATGTCATCTGAGTTTGTTAATTGGTGCATACCTGGAGGAGAAACTAACTTCTATCTATGATGGGGGCAGTAAATTAGGGCAAAGCCCTCACCTAGCAGGGAGAGTTTGAATGTTTGCATTTCAGAGAAACAAAACAGTTCTGTGTGGTGGAAGATTTACATCTCAAAGGGGGAGAGAAAGGATTTATAATTGCAAGCTTTCTAAAGTAACTGCTCTAACAGGGGGTTCAGGGGCCTATCTGCCTGTCACCAGGTTTTGGCTGGAACAAATGGTAAATTCTCCGGGCAGCCATTCACTTTTCTAAGGCAGGCACTTTAAGGGGGCCTGGAGTCACCCTCAGGATACAGCCTTCAGCTGTTAGAAACTATGCAAGTGTTAGTTCAAGTCTCTTAGTGTGCGAAGGTGGATGAAATCATTTGTGCCAAGAGTCTGCAGTTTTTATAGGCCAAGGTTGGGGTCTAGTCAAGAAGAGGGCTGAGAGGAGCCTGACTCATTGGTTTAAGGAGAAAGTCTTTGTCACCTGGTGGGAACCTCACACCCCTGTCTGAATATAGAGCAGAGGCCTGGGATTTATAGCCCAGTTGCTGCTCTGGGCTCCCTGGGATGCGTGTTTCTGTGTGCGACAGCATTTCTGGGTTTCTGACCTGAGGGAGGAGGCCACTTTTGCCACATCTGCTCTTGGAATATCAATGGCTTTCTCAAACACTGTATGGAACGCTTCTGTTAGCATAATTGCAAGTCTGTTATTAGGAAACAGATACCTTGTATGTATCTCACTCTGTAATTTTAGAGAGACAAAGCTTGTACTTGGTATGGGAGTCCCACGAGCATGCTTTGCAGAAGAGCCCCTGTTCTGAATTTTGTCTTAGTTCCCCGAGGCTTGAAGCCCTGCACACAGTTGCTGTGCCAGGCTGGGAAGGGGAGAGAGAACATGGCAGACTAGGAGGCACGAAGCTAAAAGATGTTGAGGCCCTGCACATCTATTGCCATTGACTTCCCATTCTCAGCTGCTCTGAGAGAGGAGACCTTGCTCGTGTCTGGCCTGCCCTCCTGTCCCTGCGCCGGCTCTGTCTACTTTGTGTTGCTCTCTGGTAGGACCTTGCCACATTCTGTCATCACGATGCTTGCTCTCTGACTCCCTCTCTGCTGTGTGAATTCCTCCAGCTCACAGAGTCTTGTGCATGTCTGTGCTCCTGGGGTCTAGGCCGGTGACCCAAGTAGACCAATGTTGCCTGATTGAATTAGCAAATGAAATCATCTAATCTCAGTGGGCTGTGGTTTTCTCTTGTATAAATGAAGTAGTCTGCCAACAGCAGAATGATCAGCCCTGACATTCTATGATACCGTGCACTCCACCGTGCAAAATGTTAAGCAGTTACTGTCTAGCTTTTCAACAGACATCAGCAAATTAGACACTTTCTGTACTTTTAGTTTCTTCAAACATCAGTGAAAAATTATAATGCAATAGAATGGTTTATAAAGTAACATTATAACTTTTTATTATTTTTTCTTAAATGACAAGAATGTCTAAAGGTTAGTTTTCTGCAAAACTTTGAACATTCATTTAAAAATAATGTTTCTCTTGCACCAGGTAGTTCTTAAATATTTGACTTCTCTGGTATGGATCATTTGCCCTTTGAAATGTTTGTCCTGTCTTCAGACTTCCAAATAAGGGAAATGCCAGGAAAACAATAAATGTAAAGTCACCTCATGGCTCTGTTCATTCATTACTCCAGACTCTGCATTCATGAAATAATAAATAAGTTCTCTTATGTCAACCCAGTGAGCAAGTGATAGATCTTGAACCTCAGCTTCTGGAAAGTACATCTGGGTTGTTTATAAACTGAATTTGTCACATACAAATGATGTTTCACGAGGAAGAAGATTCGGTGATTTGTAAATCTGTGCTTTCTATCCCACCGCCACTGCCCAAGCACTTTCCTTCAATTTGGCTTTATTTTCACTATTGACATTGATTAAAATGACATTTCCATTGCCCAGAAAGTAAAAGAGGGCTTCAGCACAAAATAGCGCTCCAATAAGGAAGCATAAATCACTGAAATTGAAACGTCATCTGTCTTAGTTGGCCAACCGCATCATCTCCATGAAAATTCTCAGCAGAGAGGAAGGAACTCACTTTCTTCCAAACAATGACAATTTGGACTTGCTTCGAGGCGCTGGCATCTCTTCATATCTGGATATCAGATATCGGTTTGGTGCCTCTCTCCCTTATCAGGCGGACGTTTTGAAATCTACTGCACCAGTATTCTCATGGATGGTGGCCTTTGATTCTTCTAGATTCAGAATTTGACTTCTGTACTTTTCCTGCCAGTCATCCACAATGTACTGGTGGTAGGGGTCGTTGGAGTGTTCCTGCCTCTTGGATTTCACCGTGCTCACCAGGATGGCTACAATGATGAAAGAGAACATTCCGATCATCACCATGAGGTACAAGATGACGTAGTAGAAGTTCTCAGCATCAACTTTGGCCTGCAGTGCCTCTTGCTCAGCTGTCGTGTTCCTGCGCCAGTTGTTCATATACGTAACAAAAATCCTTTTGAAGGCATCTTCCAGGGTCTGTGTCAAATTAGATAAAGGAGACATGTTTCCCTCCTGCTGCAATTTAAATAATAAAACAGATGAACAAGGTTAAGGAAACAGACCCTTTCAGCATCTGGCTACCTCAGGGGAGGGAGGGAGACACAAGGGGAGAATTAATATTATTTCCTCTTAACCTGGCTGGTCATTGGTTGAGTACATGTTTTGTTAGTCTTTAAGCTGATTATATACATTTTATTCATTTTTTGCATGCATGATTATTTTACAATAAAATTTTAATGGAGGACATATACACACACACACATTTTGATATCATTATATGTGTAAACAAATGTATACACACATATGAAAATGGGGAAGACTGGAAGTAAATAAATCAGAATGTTACTAGTGGGTGGTGTACTTAAAGACCTAGATCTTCTTTATGCTTTTCCCATGTTCCAAGTTTTCATCAGTAATCATGCATTACTTTTGTTTTTAAAAAGATCAGTAACCACACAACAACTAGGATAATGCCAGGGTCATAATAAGCACTCAACAAATATCAGTGGAATGAAGCAATGACTCCATTTATATTCTCTGTTTTTAGAGAATTGTGGGGCTTTAGATATAAGATTGAGGCAAAAGTTTGCAAGGGACACTGACAGACATTCCAATTTGTTCCATCTTCTATGTCTAGGCGGTGCCCTGTCCCAAGTATCCTCAAGTGAGGGGTATGTACATTTACATTTGAAAGAAGTACTTTATGTAAGTGATGTAAAGAAACAATCTGAGAGATCATTCATATTTTCCAAAGCCATCTCTCCTTTTCATCCCACTGCACTGCCGGGCCACCAATATCTCTCACCTGGTTGATGCGATGCAATACAATACAGCTCTCCCCAAAACCATCTCACTGGGTTTGTATGCGCCCCTCTCTGCTCTGCATAGCGGTCAATGTGCTTCCCCCCCACTCTTTTTTTTTTCTTTTTTTTTTTTTTGAGACAGGACCTTGCTCTGTTACCCAGGCTTGCTAGAGTGCAGTGGCATGATCATGGCTCACTGCAACCTCAAACTCCTGAGCTTAAGCAATCCTCCTGCCTCACCCTCCCAAGTAGCTGGGACTACAACACCAAACAAGCACACTTGGTTAATTTTTCTATTTTTTGCTCAGGCTTGTCTCAAACTCCTGGCCTCAATCGATCCTCCTGCCTCAGCCTCCCAAAGTGCTAGGATTACAGACGTGAGCCACTGTGCTCTGCCCAATGTGGCCTTTTTAAGACAGAAATGGGATCTTGCCATTTCCTTGCTTTTAAAATGATGCAATAGCTTCCTGTTGTTCTTAAAATAAAATCCTAATTCTTTAACAGGGTTTCCCCAGCCCAGGCTGGCAGGCTCCTGACCACCTCTCCAGTTACCTCTTGCTCACCGCAATTTGGTCACACCTGTCTTCTTTCCTCCCAGTCAGTAAGCTCTCTTGCCTCAGGACATTTGCACATTCTATTCCCTCAACCTGGAATAACTTTGTCCTCCTCTTTCACCTGCTACATCTTCAATTTTCAGGTCCCTGGCTAATTGTCACATCTTCTGAGAAGACTTCCATGATTTGACTCTAAATCAGTTCCTACCACCACTTTTCTCCAATAGCATCTTCATCTTTTTCTTCAAAAGCACTCTTTACATATGTGGGAATTAAATGTACACTGTGTGTGTGTGTGTGTGTGTGTGTGTGTGTGTGTGTGAGAGAGAGAGAGAGAGAGAAAGAGAGAGTGAATTATTGGCTTAGGGTCTCATCTCTCCACTCGACTGTTTAGTCCGTCACCTTTGTCTAGCCTGGGATGGCAAATGTCTGGTGCAGAGCCTGACACACAGAGAGCACTCAATGCATGTTAGATGAATGAATTAAATTGCCAGGCACTTTGCTAGGCTTTGAAAATGCAGAGATGATAGGAACTCTGTCTCTCGGAGGCTTCATTTAATGAGAGAGAGCAAATAAATGACGATGCAATGTGCAAAGAGTCACAATAGGTATGAAAAAAGAGATAAAGGAGCTCAGAAAATGGGGCTGAACACGGCTCATAGATGGGGCAAGTCAGTGCAAACACAACTGGACCCAACACAGGCAGTAAGCAAACCTGGGATCGGCACAACCTACAGGTCCACCTACCCAGTAAAACGCAAGTGTCGCAATGGTGGGTCTGCCTGCTACTGTTCTAAAAGCAGTGCCCCCTCTCTGTAACACGCGTCTTTTCTTTCCTTCACGAAAAGAGAAGTTTCAGCTCTCCCCATCTGGGAAAGAGACATGAATAAACTTCCAGGTATTTGTCCCACAGAATGCGCCTTCCCAACATTTCCCTCCTTCAGAAGTACTGTAGCCAAGACAGGATGTTTCTGTCAATCTAACATTTTAAGTTCTGTTATTCAAAGAACTCTAAGACCCTTCTTTCCGTCTCCGCGCCACACAAAGCCTAGTGGGTTGGAAGGAAACTTAACAAATAGATCAGATTGCCCCAAGCTACACAAAGCACATTTTCTAAGCAATGTAACGGAGACAAGCTTTTTTTCTTCTTAAAATAATACAGCTCACTGAGAAACAGTGGTGCCGAGCTGGCTTTCATTCACACTAGACTTTGCCTCTGGCTCTTTTACTCTGGAAGAGACAAAGTCTACCAGTTTTGGCCGAGTTTACACTCATTTCATCCGTCAATAGACAAGCCCGCCCTCACCCTCTCCAGCCCTCGGTGCCATGTCGGGTTAATCTGGAAAAGTCCGTGGGGCAAGATCACTTCACCTGAGTGTTTTCACCTCCTGTGGCTTCCAACCCGTCTCCACAGCTTCATCCAATAAAGAAAACTGTGATTGTGCCAGCTCATACGTCCCCAACACCCTCTAGAGAAAGTTCAGTTTCCTTTTGTGAAGCCAAATCGGAAAACTGGGGAGCACAAAGACAGCTAGGACAGAACCGGAAGAGCTAAGTGGACAAAGTAAAGGGCTGGGGGTGGGCGCAGAACACCCCTAGGGGTGGGCGTTGCTGGGAGCTGTGTGACCATGGCAGAGGAGAAAACCGGAGAGGGGGACCCTCTGGGTAGGGAGTCAAATACCCTGTCATGTTCTCCCCGTGGTGCTGTCAAGACTGGGATTATTCTAGGGATTGTTGGTTATTGGACAGTCCTTCTTTAAAGGCATTCTGTGTACGCGCTGGGTCGCAGAGGGCCCTGCCTTGTTCCTGGGTTCCCCGAAGAGGCAGCAGCATCGCAAGGTCCTGAGTGATTTGCGCCCTTCTGCCACCCGGTCGCCCACGCAGCTCCGTCGTGGACTGCGCCACTGAGCTTGCAGCTCCCCCAGTTACTCTTTTAAGTGAAAGAAGTGAAGGTCCTAACACTCTACGGCAATGGCCACAGCACAGGCCACATTCACTACCCACACCTTTCTGCAAACGTTTTCATCAAAGTAACTCATGAGCTTCTCACTGTATGTGAAAAATCCAGGTAACTGCGCATACGAGGGAGCGGGCGTGGGAGAGGGATGTCTTGATATTTAGCAAGGCCACGGAGACCGGATGCCCCAGACAAGCCGTAAGATTCAAGGGCTGGAATGGGATGGGTCACTTGAAGTATGTATTGGGGAGGAAATGGAGATGGAAGGAAAGAGGAGAGAGCGGTGACATAACCCTGGGCTTCTACGTGAGTTTTCCGGTGTCGTCTGCATGAGGAGAAAGAAATACAATACGCTACCTGATCTGCCCAAGTCTAGGCAGACACCCCTTTTCTGTGCTCTTCTGCAAACTACCATGTTGGTTTTGTTTCCTTTTTTTTTTTCCTATTACCCATTTATTCTCTGAATTTTTTACCTCCACGATGTTTAGAGAGATTAAGTAATTTGAATCCTGACCACATGAGAGCTTGAGCTGCTGGAGGCAGGGATGGTTGCGTTCATCTTTGGGTCCCAGGCCCTGCACAGTGGTGGGTACAGAGCAGATCTTTACTGAGTGTTTGGTGAATGAATGAGTGAATGAATGACAGTTCCTCTCTCTGTGGAATTCAATTAGAAACCACCAGAACAATGATTCTTAACTTAATTGGGGGGGGGAGGTTGTTATAGATCCTTTGAAAAATGAAATAAAACTATGTTATTTCATTTTTTCCCCAGAAAAGCATACACATGCACACACACAGCTCTACATCCAATTTTATGGGACTCCTGGGCCCCCGAAAGCCCATCCAAGAATTTTTCCAACAAAACACCTTTGAGATAAGGGATTTCAGTGCTGAATTCCACTGGAGTCACTTGGGTTTGTTTCCAGGTGTAGGCATGGCGGCACTCACCAGCCCTTTAGAGCTAAGTGGCCAATACCGTCCATTATTTGTTCGGCAATTCTAACCTGGACAAAGGCCCACTGCTAAGCAGATCAGGAGGTGCTTTTTGATAAGACTTAGTCACAGAGATGAGACGGGCTTGTGGGGATTAAATAGCTAAGTGCTGACCCCCCCGCCAGGCTGAAAAAATAAGGTCCAAGGGGGATCCCCTTTCTGAATATTGACGCACGAGATACGGCTGAGTAGTCCGTGCCTGTTCCATGACCACAGGAAAGAACCAAATCATAGAATATGAAAGCAGTTTCATTGAAGGATATTATGCCAAAATATATTTAAATTATAAGTGGGTTCATTTAAATTTTTGATTCCCAGAATAACTATTTAACCAGTAGACATCACCCATATTTCGTATACATACTTATCCTACCCCCAAACAGAATACTGTAATAGGCATTTACTTTAGAAATGCTAAGACAACTATTATCTGTGTTCTTTTGAACCATCATGAAATTGCCATTTGTATAAGTTAGAAATGGTCAAATATTGGCAATTTTATGTGTTTCAACCTAACAGGACCTACATTTCCAATAAAGAGTTTTTGCTGAGTCACTAAGGGTGGACCCCAGAGATCATGTGGGCTGGCTTGGTCTTTGGTAGGTGGAATAACATAGCCTAGAGAGCTTAAATCACCTGTCCAAGATCACAGGGCTCTCAAGCTGGCCACAGTGCCTGGACTAGAACCCAAGTCACCCAGGCCAGTGCCCAGCACTCACTGTCCTAGCAGAGGTCACACATTCCAGTAATTCTGTTTCCATTGCCTGTGGTTGGTCGGCTCAACTGGGTAAAAGACACAAGACCAAGACCACCGTCTGAGCTTACTCACCTCATTCATTGCGCCCTGTCTCCCAGTTACGGAATGATCTCCTAATTCCAGCGGTCCCTGTCACAAATGTGCATGATTCATGACAAGGGCAATCTGGGCACTATAAGGAAAGTAACATTCATTTGACCCCAAAGTCCAAAGTTCTCATTTCTTGAGAGACGGTGGGTCATTGGTGTCACCCGGGCCTAAGAAAGGCGTCAATGTGTTTCATTTTCCTATCAAGAATAGCGAAAGAGGCCGGGCGCGGTGGCTCACGCCTGTAATCCTAGCACTCTGGGAGGCCGAGGTGGGCGGATTGTTTGAGCTCAGGAGTTCGAAACCAGCCTGAGCAAGAGCGAGACCCCGTCTCTACTAAAAATAGAAAGAAATTAATGGGTCAACTAAAAATATATAGAAAAAATTAGCCGGGCATTGTGGTGCATGCCTGTAGTCCCAGCTACTTGGGAGGCTGAGGCAAAAGGATTGCTTGGGCCGAGGAGTTTGAGGTTGCTGTGAGCTAGGATGACGCCACGGCACTCTAGCCCGGGCAACACAGTGAGACTCTGTCTCAAAAAAAAAAAAAAAAAAGAGAATAGAGAAAGATATTTATTTCATTTACCATGAATCTCCCATTAAAAAAAAAAAAAAAAAAAACTTTCAAAATTTTTACCCAAAAGCAGTCACTGAAGCAATAAGTAAGGTAAACACAAGGAAGGAAGGAAGGAAGGAAGGGCGAGAAAGCTAGGCCATACACGAGGAAAATCATTCCTTTTATAGTTTTCTGGAAAAGGAAAATAGGTAACTTTGTTACTTAACTCCTCAAAAAACGAAGAATTTATAATAAAACGTACCTATGTGGTATGTGAGTGTATGAAATTCCTTTACAAAGCCAGGCTGTTCTGAACCTTCTGGCTGGAGCTGGTGAGCTCTCTTCAGGGTGGACGTAAACCTCAGCCTGCCGGAGACCTTCAGCTCGTGACCAACTGAGCCCTCGCTAACCGCAGTCTGCAATCCCAGGCTTTTGTGAACCCAAATGTTTAATCTAATCTTATGTGGAAAGTTAAATACTGACTGGCAGTTGGGAATTAACGTTGGTGCCTCATGGGGTGTGCCCGTGTGGAGTGTGGCTTTGGGCAGAGTGGCACACGTCCCCTCTTTGGGCCCCAAGATGCCAGCTCCAGCCAAGGCAGGGCCTGGGCACAGTGAGCGTCTCTACCCAGGCAAAGTCTTCCCTTGGAGCAGCCTCAGCAGGCAGCACATTCCCCGTGAGAACACAAGCTAAAGGACGGGGTCAAGGTGACCCAGGAGAGGAGCCAAGCATGGCCATCTCTGGGTGGTTTCGTGGGTCGAGGAGAAGGCCAGTATAAGTTCAGGCAGGTGCCCCTGTTCGGAAGCCCTCCCAATAAGCTAAATTTTGTTTAAATACCCCTCTCTGGGACCCTTTCCAAATGACTTTGTGACATTGTTGTCTTCTAAAACTGGTCACAAAGGTACTATATGGAGGAGATGGAACCCAAGTCCAACAAAATATTGAAAGTCCTAGCAAGAGCTAAATAAACTCTACTTACCAAAAGATTCTTTTGGTAAATAGAACTTGTGGGAGTCCTTGGAATTGGAAGGAGTGGGGTTCACGACAGCTGTGACTTATGATACTGACCACCTGCCTGGTTCTTCTCCAAGGGCTTTCGCTGCATTCACCGCATGTAACCATGGCCACAACCCAATGTAGAAGGTACTGTGAACCTGACAGCCAGGGAAATCCAGGCCCAGAGAGGTCAAGAGGTCAGGATGACAGAGCTGGAACCAGGATTTGAATCCAATCCGAATGGTGGCCACAGGAGTTACTCAATCGAAATCACTGCAAGGTCATACGGCTGCTCTTTCCTCTGTAACTCATGTTGTCGTTGGGTAAAAGGAAGTTTATCCTTGTTTTAAAATTGGGTTTTCTCATTCAATGGAGCTTTGAACAACATGGCTGGAAGTACATTGGGTGGCAAGAGGAAGACGGCTAAGATTTAAAATGATCTACAAATTACCATACACTGAGCATATTAGGTGCATTCCAAAGAAATACAAGGATCCCTGTAACGCCACACTGGCTTCTCATTGCACCATTTGTCCTCACGGGCTGCCTTCACTGAACAAGATAAGACAAACCTAGCCAGAAAGGAACTGTTTGATAGTCTAATCGAGCTGTGGGTGCCCCCGTAGGAGTGGAAGCAGGACATTAGAGTGAGAATTCTGTTGGGTGATTGTGCCACCTGCTGGTGAAAACAGGGAACAGACGCCAATCTTCCTCACACCTAAAGCAGCCCTCACTGCTTAACTTCACCCTTCAATTCTCCAAGGTCCAAGAGGAAAAGAAGCCGTGTGCAAGTCTAGGCTATGGCATTTAAAGGCAGAACTAGAAGGCAGTATGTCATGGAGGCTGAAAAACCAAGTTAACAAATTACTTTGCATCTCTGGTCTTCGGATTCTTCATCTGTAAGATGGAGCTATAAAGAGCTCCTACCTCATTAGGGTTGTCATAAAAATTAAATGAGATAATGGACATAGAGCACTTAGTACAGAACCCGGCACAGGTAAGATAGTAAGTGCCTTATACATATTAGCTTTTGATATTATTTCTAAGAGAAATAAGCAAGAAGACATGCCAGTGAAAAGCAGAGCTTGACCAGACCTCACCAAGCAAAAGAACATTCTAGAACTGAAGAACGGCTCCTTACTTTTAGAAAGCTCTTATTTTTAGAAAGTTTATTTTTAGAAAGCTCTTACCCATACCTCACTACACAATTCACAAAACTGAGACTGAGAATCTGGAATGAGATGGGGACCTTCAGAAATGGAGGCAGAGTGTAAATATGACCCAACATCAGGTAGGGAGTAGAGAGGAAAATGGAAGGGGAAAGAGTTGTTGAACGTTTCTCTCCAACAGGCTTCAGCCTCCTCCATCTCCACAGCAGAGGCTCTCAGTAGATGCACTTGACATCGGCCCCAAGAAGAGAGTAAAATGGTATCTGCCCAGAAAACAACGTATGTAAAAGCAAATATTCTCTTTGCAAATCAAATTGCAGCCCACGCCTTTATTGAGTTCTTCTGCCTACATACGGCATATGTTTATAAAACCCAAGGAGTTGAGCCTGCTTTTGGATTTAAAATGAGATATTATCTGGTCTGACATCAAACACTAACAAAACCCAAAATTCTTTCAAAAGAAAAGAGCCACAGGAGATTGTGTTTCTTGTTGAGTCTACCTTTGAGTACCTAAGAACAGCTACGGGTACTGTTCTTAGGGATACAAACCAATAGGCTAACAAGACTCCTTAAATAGAACATGACTGCTAACGACAAATAACAGGGGATGCAGAAAGTTGGACAATTTTCTTTGGAGATCTTCAAATCAGTGCCTCTCTGCCTCACGCCAGTCCTGCTAGGAGGTATCCTACAATGGATACATTGGCTACTCTACCTATTGACTTCCTGTTATGGTAGGTGAGGATATTAGCCTCAAGGGCTACATCCTTTTCCCTCCTTTACATCCTCCCAATATATTAATAGTTACGTCACAATTTGGGGTTAAATCCAACTTTAGAGTTTGCATTGTTGTGGTAATATAACTATTGCTACTGGATGAGCCTAGTAGTGAACTGTAATTACGTCTGTCCCATACAAGTTTTGTTTTTTGCATAGTAGTTAATCATTCTTTCCCTCTTTCTCTTCTTATTTTATTGTATTTTATTGTAAGTTTTTGTAATTTTATTGTAATTTACTTAGCTATCTTTGAACCTCTTCCTGTATCCCTCAATGGCTAAGTAATATGCTCTTAATACAATTTCCTACTTGGCCTGCCTCATCACATAATCCATCAGTTTCATTTTTTCCCTAGAGCGAGCCCAGGGGCTCCATCCTCCTACCCCACCCTGGACTGGTTGCTCCCTAAGCCTGCATAGAGCTGTCCTTTTGGGATTTCCCTTCACCAGCATCCTGAAAATTCTCTTCACCTCTCTCCTGGGCTGGAATCCCTCTCTCCCTCTTTCTTGAGGAACAAGGTATCTAAACATCTCTGCCTGTTGGCCTGTATTTTATGAAGTTCCTCAAAATTGGCTGCAAGTCTCAAGTCAAGATGGAGTTCAGTAGAAGCAGTTTTATAAAACAGCTCCCTGAACTCTGGCATAATCCAAAGATTGAGAATATTCTAGAGCCCCATTTCCCATCATGTTCTTTGGGGGGGTGGCTAATAAATGATACCAGAAACAAGGGTTCTGAGGTCAAATTAACTTGGGTAATGCTGGCTTAACAAAGTTAGAGATTTCATTACGGTAGGAGTTCTTAGAGCCTTTAATGTGATCCAAGCATGACAAATCCCCAACAGGAGGCTAATCTATGCAGAATTTCCTGAATGCATCTGATGGTAGAAACTTTTTTTTTCACAATCTTTTAGAGCCAGTGGTACACAGCCCCTGTCTTACCTAGAACAAAGATCTGAACCCATGGTTCTTAACCATTTTAAGTTGTGAATTCAGAGAATCTGGTACACATTAATAAGTTCTTTTCAGAAAAAACGCACATAAACATATATCCAAAAACTTTGCATTCAATTTTACTTTATTGCATTAAAAATGTATTTATTTTACACAAGCAGAATATAAAAATAATTTTTTCATGCAAAATGTGATGTTCTTTTGAAAATGAATTAAAATGAAATAAAATTGTACAAATAATACAAGAGGTGAATTTATTTGCTGAAAAATCCAATTTTAAGAGAAGGCTCTACCATTTTGCTTGAATGAGTTATTCCAACATTGAATAGTCTTTGACCTCACATGGTACACACTATCATGTTAAAAATGTATGGATAATTGTGAGAGAAACAGAAATACAACCTATAAATTAGAATGCAACAAATTGATTTTCTTGTTTAAATAAAAGCAAATGTAGAATATTTTATCCATTCAGTGGAAAGCAAGATAGGGAAAACACTTTAAGAAAAAAAATTTTAAACAGAAATCACCAAATAAGGTGGTAGAAATATATCTGCTATGGCATGAATATTTGTGTCCCCCGAAGAAAATTCATGTGTTGAAATCCTAACTCCCAATGTGATATTATTAAGAGGTGGAGCTTTGGGGAGGTGATTAGGTCAAGAGGGTAGAGCCTTCATGAATGTGATTAGTGCCCTTATAAAAGAGACCACAGAGAGACTTGCCCCTTCTACCACGTGAGGACGTGGGGAGATGGCGCCATCTATGAACCAGAGAGGGAGCCCTCACCAGATACTGTATCTGCCAAAGCCTTAATCTTGGACTTCCCAGCCTCCAAAACTGTGAGCAATACATTTTTGTTGTTTATAAGTCACCCAGTTTATGATATTTTTCTTATAGCATCCCCAACCAAGACAACATCCACATATATCAATAATCACAAGATCCTTAAATAAAATAAGCACATATTAAAAGACTAAGATTATTAAATTGAACAACAAAAGAAAATCTAGCCGTATAATTCTTTAAAAATATACATCTAAAATAAAAACAGAAAAAGTTGAAAATAAAGTGAAGAAAAAACAAACCGAGGTAAGGCTAAACCTTAGAAATCTAAGAAAGAGTACAATTTCATCTAATTTATAGGATATTAAATGTTACCAAAATTTAATGAAAGAAGCAATATGTCAGGAAGACAGGAAAATGATGGGTATATATATATAGACTCAAAATATTTGAAGCAAAATGGGCAGATTTACAAGAAATTGAGGCATCTACAATGACAGGAATTAGGTTTCAGAAACTGATATATTTTTTAAAAAGAGTAAACACATAGAATATTTGAGTAATAGAATTAACAATATTGCATAGATATATAGAGAAAGCCTTACACTCAACCAATAAGTGATACGATTCTTTACAAGTGTCCATAGAATAATTTTGAAAATTGACTATGTGCTTCTCAAATGAAGTCTCACCAACTTTTAAAATAT